TTCTGGTGAAGTAGTTCTTGAGAAGAAGATTTAAAAAAAAAAAAATTTAATGTAAAACTTGGGTTCCCTATTGTAGCCCCACCCTAACCCTGGGGGTCATAATTTGAACAATTTAGAAATCTACATTACCCCAGTATGCTTCCACATAAGTTTCAGCTTTTCTGGCACAGTGGTTTTTGAGAAGATTTTTTCTATATTCTATCTAGAAAGTTTTTTCCTATATATTTCAATGTAAAACTTTTATTCTTGTGGCCTTGCCCAACCCCTTGGGGGTCATGATTTGAACAATTTAGAAATCTACGCTACCCCAGTATGCTTCCACATAAGTTTCAGCTTTTCTAGCCTGGTGGTTCTTGAGAAGAAGATTTTTAAAGATATATTTCTGTATATAAAACTTGGATTTCCTACTGTGGCCCCGTCCTATCCCCGGGGTTATGATTTGAAAAATTTAGAATCTACAACACCTCTGGATTCTTCTACATAACTTTCAGCTTTTCTGGCCTAGTTGTTCTTGAGAAGAAGATTTTTAATGACCCCACCCGATTTTTCTTTTCTTGAATATCTTCCCTTGGAAGGGGACTTGGCCCTTTACTTTAACAACTTAAATTTCCCTTTACCCAAGGATGCTTTGTACCAAGTTTGATTAAACTTGGCCCAGTGGTTCTTAAGAAGAAGTTGAGTATGTGAAAAGTTTACAGATGGACGGACAGCCAGACAGACAGATGGACGACGGGTGATCAGAAAAGCTCACTGGAGCTTTCAGCTCCGGTGAGCTAAAAATCAATGCATTTCCACTATATAATCAACAGAGCCCCACCCTAACACCAGAGCCCCTGTCCCTGGGGCATGAAATTAATAATTTTGGAAGAGCCATCCTTATTAAACATAACAATGCACTTGGTTAGTTTATTTAATGCCCATGAGCAGAGGGGAAGAATTTTAAAGAATTTATGCATTTTCACTATATAATCTATATAGCCCTGCCCTAGCCCTAGAACCCCTGACCCTGGGGCCATGAATTTCATAATTTTCGTTGAGGACTAAATGCTGATTATAATCATACCAACAGTTACTGCTTCATGTCCAGGAGTAAAGAAGAAGATTTTTTAAAGATTGCATTAATTTTACAAGGTTTGGCCCAACCCCCAGGGGGGCAGGGACCATGAAATTCACAATTTTGGAAGAGATAGCCTTATTCAACATAACTATGACAGTATGTTCTTGGTTAGATTATTGAATACCCAGGAGAAGAGAAGATTTTCAAAGAAATAAGTAAATTTCACTCTATAATCTATATAGCCCTGCCCTAGCACTAGAACCCCTGACCCTGGGGCCATGAATTTCATAATTTTGGTAGAGGACTCAATGCTGATTACAATTATACCAACAGTTTGACTGCTTGATGTCCAGGAGTAAAGAAGAAGATTTGGAATAATTTTACTGGTTTTTGGCTCCACCCCAGGCCCCAGGGGTACAGAAACTATGAAATTCACAATTTTTGTTCTCCTTCACTCAAAGATGCTTATGCCAAAATTGGTTGAAATATGTCCAGCGGTTTCAGAGAAGAAGCTGAAAATGTTCAAATGTTAACACATGATGCATGGCAGATGAAAGGGATAGCAATAGAGTGACTCAGGTGACCTGATAAATAGACAATATAGGCATTGTTTCATTGTGGTACAATACACATTCCATATTGTACAGCCCTTGTAAACTCTGCCAATGCTTGACAGACCTGATTTTCACTGTCACTGGTCTGACTATTTTTAGCCAGTCTACTTTTGCTGCCAGCATTCCTCCTTAGTAGCTCTGAATCTCTTTTAGCATTGACTAAAGCAAAAATACAGAACAGAGTATGGTGGGGATGATCAACAGCTGTGTGATGAATAATCTGAAAACAATAAAATCAGAAGTATAAAAAGTATCGATAGCAACAAATTTGAAAACAAGATCAAAAGATCTTTTAAATAATCTTCACCCAGCAAAGTTAAAACTGAACAAAATATATGATTTGGAATTGAGAGGCCAATGTTGTAACAATTTGAGAGTTCCAATGATGAGATTGAAATTGTCTTTAATAGTTACATGTTTATATATTACTGAATCTCTTTCTTTTGATGTTCAGTAAAGACCTACTTTTTGCAGTGTTTTCTGTAGAGAGGGAGATTGATCAGCAGGTGGATTAGTGTCCATTCTAGCACACAGTTGGTACATCAAACTCAGAAACTTGTAAGATTTAATATTGTCCATGTTTATCTAGGATTTTAAGAAGCAAATTAATAGAGACGAAACACTATACATGTCACATATTCTGAGTGAAATATGTTCTCAAAATTCATTACCATAATCAAACCACTAATGTCTGCATAGGTAGGATTACTGAACCATAGGGATACCAGACGGAATATGCGGATATCGTGTTTGTCCCCATGCTTCAGACATTTGATATAGTTCTGGACAGCCTGTTTTAGGCATCTCCATCTATCCTCCTCCATAGCATTCAGTTCTGACTGATCTATCTCACTCTGTTTGCTTAAAGTTCTATAATATCGACTGAAAAGCAAGAATTTTAGTTTTATTTGACCAAATAAAAACTGCAAAATCATATGTAATGAAATACATGGAGAAAACAAACAGTATTTTAGCTCAAAAGTCCATTAAACATTACAAAATAGGAGCAGAGCAAACATGGACCTCCAAAACATCAGAGGTGGAATCAGGTGCCATGGAGGAGTGAGCATCACCTGCTGACAGATCACTCTCACCAAGTGTTCCTTGTCATGTTCAGGAAAAAAACCCAGAAGTATCTGTGGACAACTTGGTGTGTTAGCTAGTAGATTTTGATTTTTTTAACCCCCCTCCCCCAACTTCTCTTTTTACCAACATTAACAAGTGCAATTTTACGATCAGGGTCAATAATACAGACCCTGAGACGTGCTACTTCCCCACAGGCTTGCTGCATGAACGGTACACGAACGCTACATGATTTGCACGAAACGCTGCATGGTTTGCACGAAACGCTACACAATTTGCACAAAACACTTTGCACGAAACGCTTTGTACAGGTTTCTCACACGCTTTGTACATGATTCTCACACGTTTTGGCCTCGGTTTGGATTTTCTACTCGGAATCTCTCGGACATTATTACGGTTTTATTATTCAAATATTAATTACATCTCAATCTCTCAAGCTAGTTTAACAGCTGTTTAAATTAAAATTCAGTAAACAGCAGTAATATATAAACGGATAGAAATATTCAATACTCTGACAGTTATAATTAATTAATAAATAATTGTCAATAAATAATTTTGTATTTATTTAATCAGTGTATAGAGATAGAATGCCGATATCATAGTGTACGTATTTTATTCGCAGGCTTACTCACTGCATTATAAATTATTATTTTTATATATTGTTATTCATTACAATACGCTTCTTGCAAATTAATATTTTTACATGTATTATATTGAACAAAAATTTAATTTCTTACTTCAGGTAGCTACAACTCATTTGTTGATTTTAAATAACAGTCATTGATTAAATTGCGTTTGCTTTCCGTAGGCAGATTACATTTCTTGTTTTTTTTTTTAATTAAATAATAAAATTTGTCTATATAATTTATCCGAAAAATGATTACTTTAGGGTCCATTTTATTGCAAAATGTATATTACATGTCAGTAAAAGTGCAGAACAGATTTAGTCAGGTTATCATTTCAGTTAATTCAATGTAGATCTAAAGTTACACATTCGGATATATTAGAAAGAAAACTGAAATATCCTAGATAAAATAAATCAAAGGCCTGAAGGGCCATAATGGCTTACGTGCTTGACATGGATGTAAAATGTAAGGAAATGTAGTATACTAGAATATTACTTAGTGTTTCCTCAGAAATTTCTTACTGCAAGGGTGGGGGGTCGCTGAATTGACGGCCTGAGGCGTTTCTTGGCAGTTGAGTTTATTTTTTCTAAATTCATATTTAAATGAAAAATACAAATTCACTAATAACCTTTTTTAAAGGTAAATAAAAGCTAAATATATAGATTTTGAACAAATTGTCAGTTTTTGCTTAAAATTATTCTACAATAGAGTTTTTCATATAAAAGAGATCTAATCACGAAAAATTGTTCTATTAAAATTTTCTATAAAGCCATTGTCTTTTTACTGTTTTATGTTACGGTATTGTGCTAATTTTGCTATCTACAAATAGGCCCCTAATGACCCTCCCTTATTTTTTTATGTATCTACTCTTGCAGTTATCTTGAAACTTTTTGTTCTCATTATGTAGCACCAATGTAATGCTTACTGCATGTAGATATTGTCACTTGGAGCGCTTCTGAATAGTGTATTAGAAGCACATGCGTTGGAACTAAGTGCTTTCCAGAGTTCATAAAGTAAATTCAGAAACATTGATAATGTTAATCACACGTTTCATTTTCAGTACATGAATGCAAAAATTATGTGTTTAAATGATGATTTTTTTTTTTAATGTCGGAGCATCTATGTTATTTATAGAATGACCTGCGAATGTTGGAAAACCCCACATGTACATTAACAATTAAGTGTATTCCTTTTACCCTTCGTACTATCTGACAGCCATCAGTTACATTTTATGGTTATTAATTAATATTTTCATCAACTACAAGCTTGATATTTAGTAATATATGCCAGTGATTAAATTGCAATGAACAAAAATTGGCAGTTAGGCTATTGCATCATACCCCGTGCCACGATATGCATTGAGTTTACAACATTGAGTTGGCGGGAGATCGTGATCGCGTTATTGCCAGGCAAAAACGGCCTTAGGAAATCACTGCTTTTAGCAGCTGTTTAAACAGTTTGTAAGGTAAAATACATTTAATCTGTGTTCCTACGAACTATCTGGCGCAATAACGTACTCCCAACAGAGTTCTCTTTCTTTCATTTAGATTGACTTACCTACACGGTGGCGCTGTTGACACATACGGTCAGAAGATATTCTTCCGCGTCCTCACAAGAGTTTATTCAATTTAGCTTTTTTTTATTTGGTTTATCTTGTCTTCAGTGGCGAAAATTAAATGAAAATAACAAGGTTTTTGATTAAGGACTTGGTGAGTAATTTTCACAACAAACGTAGAATAAAATTAAAGAAAAGACGAGGACTATTTTATCTTGCTCATGTCTACTAGAATATACAGTGAACTCTTTGCCGTAAAAATACACCGGGAGCTATAATGGCTTCGTAAGCCATAAAAATGATTTACAAAACAAATAATATACAATATGATTCATGATTTACTTCTGAACTTTAAAATATTATTTTCTTGAGAAGACTAGCAAATCAGTACTACATGTATTTACGGCTAGAAATTCATATTTGCTAATAAAAGATTAAATCCATGGACATAAGTTGTACCCATTAAATAATAATCAAACTTTATTTCATCTCCAAAACTTTTCAGGAATGCAACATGTACATGTCGCAAAACAGGTAAGTTCAGTTCCATGTACTCGGAGCCCGTGGTTGCTTTTGTAAATGACGTTGATCACAATTGAAAAGGAGGAAAGAAGATTTCAATATATTTTTAAGGGGTGTGGCGGCACACACAATTAACAAAAGATTTAAAAGAGAATGCAAGAGTCAAACATTATTTATATATAGAAAAATCAAACATTTATTTAAACTAATGTTAAAGTTAACTACAAATTGAAAGACTGTACTATAATTTTCTTTTGACACCCCCCCACTACACATACACACACACTCCCCGGGAATATCTAAACCTGTGCTCGACGGTGCAAGTGAATTAAAATTCTAATCCATTTATTGATAATAATGAACAACAAATTATATGTATTAAAAGGTATTAAATGACACATCGTTTCTAGAATTTCTATCAAATACTTTAAATGTAAAGGCAAGAGCGGGTATCTTTCTGCTTAAAATTGATATATATGTACATGTATATGTATGAATACTGGTATATATTTCTTTCTTTGAGAAAAAAAGAAGCCATGATGGCATTGATAGTATATTGAACTCATTGCCCATAAAATTGTTGTACATCTACATTATGTATAATTAATTTGAACACATTTTCTTTAGGAGAAAAAAACGCAAACGAATGTATTATACATTACCTAGGGGTGGGACGATTATATACCGATACACCGATACATACCGATATTTTCCTCTAAGATACGGTTTTCGATACAAGCATGCAAATATCTGTACGAAATGATACACGAACGACCCATCCAAATTGAAAATGGAAGTAGGTGGCAGAGGATAGTTTTTTTTTGCAATCAAAACGTTTGACTGACGGTTTACTTAATATTGAGCTGCTTTAAAAGTGTGCATTGAAAAATTTTAAATTCTCTCTACATGTAATAATAGTATGAAGTAGTCCCTTGAGAAATTTGAAGCTTTTAGGAATAAAACATGTACAACTTACAGAATGAGCCCTAAAGATGGCGCAGGGACAATCTCAAAATTTCATGTGAATCAAGCCTATTTTCACTATTTCGCCGCAGCCACATCTGCTTCCAGGCCCGTGCGCCTGACCTAAGCTACCACACAAATTGCAGAATAACATTTGTACATACCAATGAACAGCAAGAGATAATGGCTCAACCACCTCGTTTTCAAGCTACAATTCATCCTGTGAACCCACCCCGCTTTTCTGGTGAAATACCGGTAGAGCGAGTTTTGAGCTTAGTTTCGTATTTCTAGTCCATATCCCATATACAGTAGTAGTGACACTAAAGTGTCATATTTCAATAAAATATACAAGGCCACCAAGTCCCTCCAAATGCACCCATAAAATATTCTAGCTATAAAATTACCTATAATATGCATTCAAACCTCAGGTTTCTCTATTTTTTCTATTTTTTGACCGGTACTTTATTCGAAACTATCCTCTGCCACCTTTAACTTTCAAAGTTTGTCTTGCAAGTAATAAACCTTGCTCAATTCAAAAAGAACATGCAATTCTGAGTAAAAATATACCAAATATGTCTTGATTCATTGAAAAATAAAAAAGTTATGGCCAAATAAGAGACCTCACCAATTCTCGGTCAACCACCTTAACCCCATATTGTTTCTTACACATAAAACAAATGCAATTCTTACAACTCCAGATGATAAATATACCAGCAAAAAAGTGTTAAATGGTAATTTTAATCTATTTCAAATACATTTATATGTAAAAAGTCAAATATAAAGGGCACATTTTGGTGAAATGTACTCACATGTATCACATACTCCCCTATTTTTCATGTTCTATGAAATTCCATTTTATCTCATTTTCACTTGGATTTATATACCTATAACTTCTTTGCAAAGTTAAAACCCCTTTCAACTTTCAAGATATTTATCATGATATGCAAAAAACCCTCTTGCATCATATGGTAAAGAAAAAGTGTCCAGGAAATGGCTGTTCAACACCCTACCCCTGCAGCCATTTCTTCAGTGTAATGAAAATGCACTGTAAAAATGTGTTTGTCCTAGCTGAATTCTTTCTAAGTGTCTGATATTCACTTTTAACAGTTATGAGTAATCAAATACATACATTT